AAAACGAGAAGAAAACCATCTAAAATGCTTCGAAATACTGGTAGCTCGGGTTGATGAATCAATTGTTTATTTGTTCTCCGAGCTTGGAAGTTTTGTCGCAAACGTTGCACCACCATGCGAGCTGGCATCCTCAGTGCAGTGATATACAGCGTACAAGCTTACTAAATGAATTCTCCCTCCATGATCGACCTGCAAGTGACTTTGAACGTGGCAGTGTCGATTTAGGTCCCGTGACCTCTACCCACTTTCCCCAAGGCTAAAGTCGGCGCCCGAGTTGTTCTGCCTCAAACCGCGTTGCAAAAGGTTCTTTATTTCTTTCTGTCGTAGTGGTTCGTATATTGAATCGATGTCCACGCGCATGTTGATTGAATGTTTCGTTGAGAACCAGGCTTCCAAGAATTCTCTTTCTTTTCTCGTTTCACCCCGTGCCAGGACTTCTGCTTTGCTCCAATCGAAGCTATGTCCTTCTTCATCTACGTGCATTGAAACTATCGACGATGCATAATGCTTTATACAGGCTCTCTTATGTTCTTGTATCCTTGTTACCAATTTTCTTCCCGTTTGGCCAACATAATCCTTTTCACAATCTCGGCAAGGTATTTTGTATACCACATTGCGTTGTTCATGTGCCTGCAGTTTTTCTTTTGGTTTTGAAAGCGTTTTTCTCAGCGTGCCAGTTGGCTTGTGTGCTACGATGAGATGATGCTGTTTGAATAGTCTAGCTGCCATTTCCGATATGTTCTTCATATAAGGCAGAACAATCCGTTTCTCCGTTGTCGTTGTTGTTGTGTTTGTTGTTGCCGCTGCTGCTGTTGTTGTTGTAGGCTGTATATTGACGTTGTGTTGGTGCAGACACCTTCGGATGAAGTTTCGTGGGTATCCGTTGAGTTGGAAACATTTAAGTAGGTGTTTTTCTTCCATTTGCTTTGCTTCTGTGGTACTACAGTGTGTTTGCACTCTGCGAAACAGTGTCCGCACACAGCACCCGAAATGCCACAAAGTAAGCTGTGTGCGGAAGAGGAAGAGAATTTCTCGAAGCATGGTTCTCTACGGAGAACTCGATAAACTTGCTTATTGACGTAGACCCGATCTACCATCACTTGCAAAAAAAGAACTCAAGGCGGGTCATTCACCACATGAGTTTAAGAGAGGCGATGATCGAACTGCAAACTAGCATTGGTCACGGGACGTGAATCGACGTGGCCAAGTTCAAACATCACTCTCCCATCGGTTAATTTTTGCGCAGTACGCACTGACGAAGTCACCTCGATTGGTGATGAAACTTCTGCAACAACAAACCTAAACCTGAACAGACAAGCCGAGCTACAGGTATTCCGCTTTATTGCCAACGGTTAGGTCATTCACGAGCTAATGGTAGGAAATGAGAAATGGGTCAAGCACGCCAATCAGCTGAGGTCGCATCACGGCAAGACTCAAAGTCCCTCAGAACCGCCACTCCTACCATGGGACATCCTGCTAGGCACGTTTTGTTTGGAAAACGAATCTGAGTGGCTACGTGAAGCACAATATAAGATGTAAACAGCAGATGACGCACAAAGCAGGCCGACCCGAAAGCGGAGACGAACACCATGGATACAGGTTGATTCCAAAGCGAAAACCTATGAACCAAGTCCAGTTTGAACGGTACGCAGACATAGTCAATTTGGAAGGGAGGTAAAAGAGACGTAAGCGGAGTTGAATTTGGGAATCGAGTGAAAATTGATCGAACAACAAATACCTGCCCGTATCAAAGGAATCGAACTATTCGATCAATATGATAAACCCGTGGAGCGGAACTCACTCCCACTGGCTGAAAACCAGACGCAGAACAGTGAGTGACCTTGCCATCCTAATTAGCATGTTTCGGTTACCAATAGAGCTAACCTATCCTGTACATAGATACCATCATTGTCTACCGAGTTCTGGCCTTTTGGATGGGCGCGTGACCGAGCAGTCAAACAGGACAACAAAGTAGCCAGTACAACAGTTGTCAGTGGCAGAGAGAGAAAGAAAGAGGAAACATTACAACAGATATGCTGCATGATGTCTCCGTGGGTGATGACAAGTGGGTCCGCCATCGCAATCAACTATGACCGTGACACGGAGAACCTTCCATGCCAGCTAGTCTTCCGATGCACCTGCCCCTACACATCTTGTTGGATACCTTTGGAATTGCAAGAGAACGAAAGACGTCGGTCGAAGCCATCCAATCGCTGCAACATCTTGAGAACTCTCCTTACCGACTGACAGGAAGAATAAAGTGATAACCGAAATCCCACTTCAGAAGCAGTGCATCCGATCTTCAAAGGGAGGTGTTGCGGGAACATCAAGTATCCCCGCCACAAACACCAGTGTGTGGGCTGTGCCGCGCCGAGTTCAATTCCCGCCCGCAACGTAGCAGGATCCAGTCACTCGGAGTCGGGGCACAACTGGGCTAAAGTGAAGCATGCCCTTTCGGAAACCACCAGCCCTACGTGATGGTTTATTTCACCCAAAAAATGAAGCATTGTGCCAACTTTGATTCGATCTTTGTGAGGCATAAAAGAATTCTCAGAGGTCTACTTCGTTTTCTCTTGCGGATGATTGGGAACCGCGTGGTCACATGATCGTGCGTGCCGCTCAAGCCATGGGTTTCGTGTGCGTCTAAGTCTCAAACGTCCATTCCCCCCGTCATTTGTGTATCGTTGCCTGTTTCTGAGGACTCAGCGTGTCACCCGAATACGTGCGTGAATAGACATCGCGCTCAGGTTGAGTAACTTTTGTCTAAGCTAACGCGACCAAGTCTGAGCAAATCCATTAAACTTTCATAGATAAATGATCACAAAATCAGTCCGGTCCAAATGGCATCAGGTGGCGAGCAGATTGACTAAAATACCTAAGATGTAGAACTAGTGTAGCTCCCCTGGTATTTCCCATCAAAAAAGCAGAGCTCAGAGCTGCGTGCTTCAGCGTGCAATTAGTTCGTTTTAGAGATTCCATATCGTATCGCAAGAAATAAGTTAATGAGAAAATCGGGAAACCGCTAGAATACAGAGTATAGAGAAGGAGAAGAAAAAAAGCTGTGTTGATCAATTGCAAGTGGATCGGGTACACGCGCGGAATCACGTCACTGATTCCTGTGCGGTGGTAGCATATTACATCTGCACTACATCTCATCCGGGTGCGATACGCTCTTTATACCTGTAGTCCACAAAATGGGGGTCAAGAAAGCTCTTAAGTGCTGACACCGATTTCGCCTAGACTAGCGTCTCCGGCAACTTGTTCCAATATTTCACTACTCGACGCTCGAAGCATAGTGGGTGAGCGATGCTGCTTGGTGCGCGAACGTGCAGCAGCGGACTCAACATAGGGGAGCGGCCCAGGTGCAATATCCGATGCATCGTTATGAGGTCAACCCGAAACCGACGATATGACAAGGAGATACAGCCCAAGTCTCCTACATCCGTCCTCGTACAACATCCTCCGCAAACTGGGCACGAGTCGGATAGCTACATCCTGAATCCATTGCAGTCTCCGCACTTCACCTATTATGATCGGACAATAGGCGAGTGATCCGTAATCAAGCACCGGTCTCATTATGGAAGAGAACAGACGGGTGGAAATCTCTTCAGACCAAGTGTAGAAGATGCGTTTAAATGTCTAAAGCAGTTGATTTCCGTTTTCGCACAAGCAGTTCGTGTTGTCGACAGATTTCAGATCACAGCGTGAGAGTACGCCTAGAACCTTTAGGTAATTTGTAGGATGTAGTAAGTGGCAGACCAGAGTGCAAGCACGCCGATTACCACCCCTCCCAGGCACATAAACGAAAATTGGCCGGGCTGAACGGCAGGTCAACTTCTGCAGACCACCGGGATAGGACGTCACAGACGTCGTCTGCAAACAGTGCACAAGATGATCGAAGGAGCTGAGATACTTCATTTCTGTGGATCAGGAATAAAATAGGTCCCAGCACCGTGTCTTGGGGTACACCGCTAGTAGAGGGATAGCAGACCGTTAGGTGGTCATCAACTTGTACCCGCCATCTTCTCCCAATAAGGAAGTCACTGTTCCACTGGAGTAGAACGCCATCAAACCCATACATCCTCAGCTTGTGGAGAAGGACCCCATGAGTCACTTTATCGAAAACTTTACTGAAGTTAACGTAGATAACATCCACTGACTTCGGTAAACCTCGTAACTTTACAAACTGTGTGACTTTCTCTGGTAATCATCCAACAGAAAAGGTCACTGTATGCATCGACATGGCTCGCGTGCTTCCCAGCCTATGACCAACCACGCAGAGTACGAAACCGGCTCAGTTAGTGCAGAGTGATTTAACGGTGAGAAGATGCCACAAATATCCGACTATCAGATGCCACAAACTGCTCAAGCTACTTGAACTAAGGACCGAATAAGTAACGCTGATGACATCAAATTGGCGTTGAGCGACAAGCAAGCCGAACTCCGATCAGTGCAATGTTCACGCCACACTTAGATGCGCTGGTCAGTTGCATCATTTGTGTTACGTAAACAATGAACTGATAGGTTTGGAGCTAAACAGGAAGAAAGTGGCTATAAGTTTAAGAAACTCAGGTCAACTTCACTAACCATAAACGGGACCGACAACATAAGTTGTTAAAAACCCTAAATCTCATGGACCAAGTCAGTTCCTTGTCTTCAATTCTTACTCCATTTGCAGGAAAGGTTCCATATTGCCTACGCTTCTTTATGAAGTGACTTTGTGCGTGAACAGATATTCACCCCGACAGTGTTGTTAAATGCATAAAACGTCACTTAAAGAGATGTACACAAATGTGAAAGCATGTACAAAGAGATACAAATAGTTGCCCGTGAGTCCGAAAGAAACAAATCACTTTCCTGATTGACATAATCAGATAAGCAATGGCAAGAATTCCACACTGAGTTACACGTTCCAAGAAGAATGCGTGGTTTGCCGAATGTCACAGACGGATAATACATGAGACGACAATGTGCAATGAACAAGAAAATAATAAATAATTACAGACACTCTGACGTGCGATTATCCCGAAAATTGTTAGTTTTTCCACAAAGGGAGTAAGTTGAGCAATTCACACACAGTCCGGTACATGCCCCCAGGAAATGGTTTACGAGCATCCAAAAAGGTTCGGACTTGTTCGGAGCTGCAATGGAAAAGGAACGAAAGATAAAAGCAGGGAAAGGAAGACCGAGTTTAGCTCAATCATGTGGTATGTAATCATGACTTTCAGAAAACAGCCGAATGTGCAGAACCATGGTGTCGAGAGCATGAGTCACAAATGCGAGTCATTACGAGAAGGTGAGATGCCAGTGCTAATGGACTTTGACTGTTTGGTAGAGTCCAGCTGTCTTTCGAACATCAAAGGGCGTTGTCAAACGAAAACAGAACAGCGCGCCCATTAGCATGACAAAAACAACAGAAAAATGAGATGCGCTTGGATGTATACTATCAGTAACGGGCGGTTGCGACAGAGAACACGGTAATTTACAGGCATAGTTCGATTTCGAATGCACAGGGAAAACAGTAAGATTCACTTAAAAATGATCTGATCAACCAATGTTGTCCTGCAGAAACTAATGTCAAACTAAAGGGAGAATCAGAACAGATAGAGAAAAGCTCATGGCAATGATGTATGTCGACACAAAATAACTCGGAGAGGCATACTAATAGTGGTTGATCGAAGAATAACATGGAGCATACTAACGGTTGAATCAACGAGGCAAATACACGAATAATAATAATACAATAACAATAATAGTACATCAGTCATTTGAAATGATGTTTTGCTGTCGTACAACCATGGTGACCTAGGGAACGAAGAACAATAAGAGGGAGAAAAGCGGGAAGAACGGTAGAACCATCATGCCATAAACAAACACTCGGGGTCAAGATGTTTACACCTTGGGTCAACAAGATAAGATCACACACAGCTGGCTATCGTGTAAAGATAAGGCGACATCGGCCAGACAGCTTCCGTGCGGCTTTCATTATCAAGCGTCATAATCAGCCATCACCCTGCAGATAACAGCACCAAACACATATCAAACAGACAGCCCGACTAAGAGGTCAGCAGACGCACCATTGGTGCCAACTGAGAGCCATGTTCTGTAAAGTCTCCAGCCAATCACAAGGCGAGTCACGCGGAATCCGGTCTGGAAAGCGAGACGGACCAACAGCACAGAGTTTGGTCGTCAGTGGCATCATTTCCTGCTGCCAATCTAAGTTTGCCCACGTCGGGCTTGCGCCACCCGACATCCGGCAAACAAAACAAGGCTCTTCTCGGTAAATGGTGACCGGGTATACGTAATAGGTGGTTAAACCAACGCAACTTATTCAGTGCCATGTTAGTAAACCTGCTGCTCTAATCCGGGACTTCCGTTTGGCAGTAAGTGACGAACGAGAATTGAGGCCAGTAATTTTGTCACAATTGGCGTTAGACTAATACCCCTGTAGTTAGCACACTCGGTGCGAGTGCGCTGCTTTTATACTAACACTATAATCGATTTATTCCAGATAGCTGGGATGGTCTCTTTCTTCCAGACCTGTTCGGATAGGGAGGTCAGTACTTTGCAGTGGACCTCACTACCAATAGTAAATAGTGCGGTTGTGAGACAATCCGGGTCAGCACCAAGAAAACGATTAAGGGTTGTGATCGCGTTTCGGATTTCAGCTTCCGACGGCGTCTCGAAACGAACAGGTCATAGCTCAGCATGTATCACCTGAGCCGAAAGTTGTCCAGGAGCAGGGTATCAAATGTACTGATGTCGAAAGTTCTCTGCCAAACGAGCCATACGGCGCACCTTACTGTGTATAAAGGCACCCGCGCTGTTTCTGATTCTCACACTGACGCCTGGTATTCTGATACAACAGGTGTGTATCAGTTGGAAGAGTTAGAGATAATTGCTTCCTTCGTTTCGTGAGACAGAATGGTCAACCAAGCATCCTTGTCAGCACACAGGCTCTGCTTCGGTACGCGCCTAATAGTCTGTTTGGCCACATTGTGTTCAGAGCAAGTCAGGAGCTTTATTCTGGGATCCAACAGGTTCACAAGCTTCTCGGATGTCCAGCGTCTATTGCGGTGACGATTGATAGTGCGAAAAGTAGTGTCGTTTGGGTGATAGAGCGGGAGTTCGGCACGCAGGGCGTCTTGGTAGGTTTGCCTGACCGAGGGCTGAGACTACTTCTCAGTTGCTAATCAAGGGAGGCGCTTGGTACGCCACGCGAAAAGGTTCATGGAAAAACTGCCTAGTACCAAGGCATGATCAGAGTCGATGCAAGTTTTCCAGAACGAGCGACAATCTATGCCACCTGTGACTTATGGCAATGTGATCTATTTAGGTTGATCGCCACTTGGCACTTCGGAGACCATTGTGTCTAAAAGTAGTGCTACTAAGAAACAGCCAGTGCTCTGCACACAGCTGTGACGGACGCTTGATGTTGTCCGCTCGGTTGGAGTTAAGTCCATACTCACAACCTAGCTGAGCTTTTGAAGAGCCCAAGCGACTTAACCGTGTATTCATATATGAACTGGTAATATTGGGAGGCAGCGTTTTCAGTTCGCGGTACAAAACGTCCTCGGCTGCATAAGAACTGCAATCAATGGGAGCATAGACGGAAATCACAAACAAACAGCGTTTTGGACTAATTTGTGAATTAACATTAGTTAAAGTCGTCAAACGTACTGTATACAAATGACCGTTCACGGGAATCCAATCAACCAACGATGACTCAGCCTTTGAACTGAGAACGATGTCCACACTAGCTACAACACTGATTGCCGAATCAGCCTCTCCGGATGCGTGCAACCAATGGCAAGAGGACAATGCAGACGCAGTTAATTCAACAACCCCGTAAGGGTCATTGGTCCCCGTTTCGGACACAACACAAGTCAATGCACAGTGTGTCAAATGTGCGTGCGAGTGCAGGCTCTTGACTTTTTTGAACGCCGCCAGGAAAACGGGACAGTGTGACTTTATAAGGGGCTGTTCCCGATATACGTCTAGTGGGTGATTCAGAAAAATAGCTGCAGATGGCAGAACTGCAGTCGCACTTCGGTTGCTGTCAACTAAGCTGGAAATTACAGAAGGAAGGCTGGTAATGGGGGCTTGGAGGGGAGTAAGAGAAACGGTTGTAAAGGAAAGATGGGAGGTGCCAGCAGTAGCATGTTTTTGCTTATCCGCCCTGCTGTAGGCAGCAGATAAGGCGACCCCTGATAATCTGCGCGGCGGCCGAGGCAGGATGAAGTTTATGTTTGAAGAAAAAGTCATGGTTGCATGTGGGCTGAGATACTGCCAGCACGCCCAGACATAGACAGGAGAACGATTAGGGTCCTCATCTAAATCCTTTGGCTCAAAAGCCGGTACGCATGACAGCAGGATGGCAATGATTTAGTATTACAGAAACGGACGCCATCCCATTTCGAAATCCCAACCTGGAGGAGCAGGAGATTGAGTTCGTCAGATCTCCAACCAATGACCAGGGCCCCTTAATAATTAGGGGGCCAATGGGCGCAGTGTAGGTCAGTGTGTCGACGAGGTACGCAAACTGTCGCACCAGGTTAGGGTCCAATCTCATTACGACAAAGTACGGTTGGTAAAGCTATATGTAGTAGAACGGTTTAGGGCAAGTCGATTAAAACGCGATCGGTTGGTTAGAGATTATTGGCACTCACTCGATCGGACCAAAGAGGACGGTAGCCGAAGTAACAGTGTCAACAGCGACGTCAACTTCAATAGAAGGGAATATAAATTGTAGACAAACGACCGAATAAACGTCCGGGCTGAAAACGGTCACAGTGATGCTGAAAACGAAGAGTAAAAAGTGTTTCAGAGTGAAGGGAATATATTAGATGATGACTAGGATGACTACGACGGAATCCAATGTCGAAATTCGGAAGGTTGATAACGTCTGATAAAATCCCGGAAGAAAAGATGAATGAATCAAATGGCTTTAAACAGCGAAAAGGGTGGAACAAGAGCATGGAACGCAAGAGCAGGAAGGTGTGACGGTTGGAGAGTTGCAGAGAATTGAGTTGGTGAAACATACTGCAGGTTTGAAGGAAGCTAAAGTGAGGCAAACGGTTGGTGCCAACTGGGGAGCAAAAAATAACCAGAACCTTATGGGACGAACACGAGGCATGGAACTGGATTCGCCAGATAATCCTTATGCAAACCACCTGTGTTCCTCCTCCCCATCACGCACAGCAGTACATCAGCCATTAGGACTGATAATTTGCTGCCGTACAACCACAATGATCTATGGAACGAAGACAAATAAGAGGATGAGAAGGGTGACCTAATGTAGAACCTAAATGCCGTAGACAAATATTCAGTGTCAAGGCGGTTACACCTTATCAAAAATCTCTCTATGCTTGCTGAAGGCATTCACCTTTTCAGTGATAACATGCGTTTACCCTACTAAGTGGAAGTAGACTATCGCCAAACCCGGACAAAAAGGATGATCTCCCCACAAAATAAGCAATTACTGCCCTATTGATCATAATTTTATCTAAACGAGAATTAGAAAATGAATAATCAGAGAATTATGTAGTATCTAAATACGAATAATCTGATAATCCAGTCGTAACATGAATTCCTCCGGATTCAATCGTGTCAAAATTGTCAGTTCAAATTTCCGGAGCATGCAATACAGTCGAATGACTTCGGTAAATCAATACTTATCTACTCATAGTCATAAAAAAGTAATCGATCGTGTATCAGAAATTCGAACAAAGTTGGCATCCTATGGGATTGCTAACCACTCACTAGCATGGCTGTCATCTTTTTCGTCTATGCGTATTCAATGCGAGAAAATTGTCATCTGTGTATCGAAACTTATCTCAGTAACCAGTTAAGCCAAACAGAGGGTGGTGTAGACCCACTAATAACCTTGCTGTGCACAGACGAGATTTTCCAAACTTTTCGATATGGAAATACCTTTTCGCTGAGGACATTACAGTTGTATTTGTGTCTAATTCCTTAGACAATGTGTGAATAGGACAAATGTAGATTTGCGCTCTTCAATTTTTAAGCTGTAAATGGAAAATGACATTCGCATATTCGCAAATGCAAAGCGCTTCACTTCTGCTGCAATATTACAAAAAACAGGATGAATTAAAACAACGAACCAAAACCCGTTGTACAGCGATTCGTGACCTTCCAGCTGTGCTAAACTGATACACTACGTCACTGGCAAAACTAGATTTACCATAGCACGAGTTTTGAGTAGTTGAAGGATTCTGGCCATATACTGAAATGTTGCCTAGTGGTATTCACATAGTGGAAAATGAGTGTCAAAATCACCCCAGAAAACAGTAGAAGTTGGAGCTCTTCCTAGTCATATTGGAACTCACAAAATATCACATATTTCGCATTTATAGTGCCTAAACTATGCTTGGCAATACGCGCTTATTGCAACTGGATCGATATTTTTCCATTTGATGCCATTGACCAACTCAATAGGATGTTTTCAGTGTGAGCCCTTTATAAATGGGCCTTCAGTGCCCTATGTTAACGAAATGTTTAAAGAAGATTTTTCAAGTTTAGTTAATGCAAAGGAATTATGCCAAATGATATAATTTTCTTTAACATAGCTTTACTTTTTACTTATTGGTCTTGATAATCACTCCAGTACATGCATTTTATCAATCTTAATGGTATCATTTCTTATTTCATTACACGGGTCTATTATGAAGTAGACTTTTTGATCCGATCAAAGTGACCGATGGAATGAATCTGAGCATCAGCGGACGGTTGTAACAAACGTTTACGTGTTGTCCAAGGAGAGAGCTAATCCCGCTTAAACTCTCAACATGTATAAACTGTTGTATGCTCTCGAGGCCAAGAAAAACTTGACCCCCATTTTATGTTGCGTTACTCAAGCGATAGTATAAAATTCCTCTAAATAGATTGATCTGACCGGTCAATGGATCTCGCAGATATGATGATAGCTACAAGCAACTACGGACCTATTCGCTTAGGTGAATAGGTGGTAAAAGGATGACAGGATGTACAGATTTCACAGGATTTAAGATAAACGTTATTGATGAGACTTAATAAGATAGATGCGTTCAACGCACTCCGAACGTGATGTTGCAGTCGCACTGGGTATATGTGGCAGGTCATACAATGTTAACTTCCCCTAAGGCAGCACACTCCAAAGTGATACAGACAGACAACAGCACAGTACCGGGCATCAGATACTAGCCGAATCAACCGAATTTACCTGATTGGACCAGTGGGTATGATGCGATCGGATGGAAGACTGTCCAGACCAGCGAAAGAGCGGCACTGACTGGGTTCATTCAATGTGGACTTTGAAAGAGAACGGTGTAGAACCTTCTGCGATGGTAGATCGGTGTTCGAAGACGCTGAGAAGCGAACTTCACTTCCCGCCCAGAACATAGCTCTCAAATCGGCCGCAAGTACCAGATATGGTGACATGAAAAATTCAACGAGCTTGAATGAAGAGAAAGGGTGAGAAACGGAAATTTTAGTTAGTAAGACAACAAAATGCCACCGATCATCATCATCATTATACGTGTCAGCTAGAGGTGGTAAAATACCTCCGCTATTGTACCGCAATAAAAATTAGAAGGTAAATGCCTAGCAAAGCATGTTGGGGGAGGGCCAAGAATAGGGGGTTGAAAACTGGGGGGGGATATAAGTGAAGTTGGAAGGGGACGGTAAGAGTGAAAAAGCGTAAGAGGGGGAATAAGAAGACGGGAAGGCTTGAGCAGAAGCAACCAAACCCCTATCCGCCCTGCTCGATGCAGCAGATAGGGCACTGTTGATTATCCTCTGCGGTGGCCAGAGCATCAGAAATTTGTTTGAAGTAAGATTCAAAATATTGCGCGAGCAGGATACTGTCAGGTTGCCCAGGCCTAGACAGGAGAACGATTAGGGTTCTCAACCAAAGCCTTTGGTTCAAAAACCTGACCGCAAGGCAGCGGGTTTGGCGTTGGGCTACAAGGAGTCCGTTTTAAGGAATAAGGAGCCACCCTCATTCCAACCCCTAACCTGGAGGACCAAGAGGCTGAGTTTTTCTGGTCTCTAACCATTGACCAATCTGGTATGAGTGACTCTGAAGGTGCAAAAGTACCACCCAGCATAGCTCAATGGATCGCTGAGGCACACAAACCATCGCACCACGGTAAGGTGCAGCCTCATTGCGATGGGAAAAATGTCACCGAAGAGCTTATGTGTTGTAGGGCCAATGAACTGAAAACGGGGCATAACGCATGAATGCAACGGTAGGTTAAGCAGTATAAACCACACAGCTGCACCCATCTCTACGAAGAAGTATGCAAGATCCTGCTGTACATCAAATATCATATGGCCTCGTATTTGACGGAGCTGAATTCACCACATCAGGAACTGTTAAACAAATTGTCCCAGTGATATTAGTTCTGTCAACCTGAAGGATCGCTGTATAAGACCCACCCCTATCAGTGGCGTGTACGTTACAGTTGAATGAGAACGCCTAATAACTGCATGGAGTACAACCTTGATTTGAAAAACTAATGCCAAGGCAGAGGTGGAAATACCGAAACATTATGAGGTATTGAGATGTAGTTGATTCCGTCAAAACTGAATGGGTAGGTGGTCAGAAGAATAAAGCTTATTATAAGAAGTATGAACACTGAAGAAGCCAATGTCCATCCAAAATACAAAACCATCCTGGAATTTATAGCTATAAGCGATAATTAAGTTCTACGATTCGTAAAGGACATATGACTATAGTCCAGTACGAGTAACCAACTGTAAGCGGAGTAATGAGGCAATGTGGACTTGGCTAATGGAAAAAAAGATTCGGAAGAATGGAAAGCAGTGGCGACATGTGGTGATAATAGCCTGATGCAAGCGATCCAATTTGGACGGCGTAATGAACATTGCGTCTGAACCATTCGGGATTTTTACCACATACGTAGCCGATTCAAGAGCCGCCATCCAAGATGACGGTACGTTTTTACGTGGAGAAAGAGACTAGCCACTATCCCCATGCCTTCTTACCATGTCACCGGTAGGGACAGCGCAGTCCCATCCAAATGGGTGCGGCGACGGAAGACAACATAAATAAAGAGGTGTGGCCAGATTTATACGAAAGAGATGTTAGTTTACTCACCAAACTAAGGAATTCGACTGCAGACGTCTCATCACCAATTGAAGCGACGTCTTCAGTGCGTGGTAGTAGCAATACAATTGATAGTGTGAGCTGGGTTTCACACAAATCCGGACTGGTCATGGTTCAGCGAACACTTCAAACACCAACTGAACAACGTCGACTAAGAATATTATCTCCTGGAGAACCCACAGAAAAAGTAAAATAACAGGCGAGATTTCATCTCTTTCTAGCAAAGGAAGCCAAAAGTTGTCGTTTGATGCTCGGTAACAATCTTGCACTGGCGATTGTCGCTTTATTGACTAGAAAACAACCGAATCATGTATGCCTTCAGCCAAGTGGGGTCATTTCCTTCGTACGTGGTTGATGGGGCATTTGTGATACTGTAAAGGGTGCTTCCGATAAGCCAGCATCCTGAACAGATACCCCACTGGTAGAATTTATAAGGACTCATGACTAGTATTGATAGAGAACCACAGATCGGAAGGCAAACAGTAAACCGAACAAGTCAAATGGCATCAGGCCAAATGTGCATAACTTTGCATCGAGCTGAAGAAGTCCATGCCACGCAGTCTGCATGCCCAATATAAAAATTGAGTGCATAATGGCACCAGGTCTAGCAAAACTAAAAGGCCCTTCAAAGGATGATACTAAGGAAGTGATGTTGTAAAAGCAAGGATTTGATGAGTATCCCAAACAGAAACCTTCGTTGGAATTCACTATTACTACAGAAGAAAAACCGCATGATGACTGCTGATATTTGGCTGTGGTAGGAGTCGTCATCATTTCCTCCGGTAGCTTAGTACTTCTACCTCTAAAGGGTCAGCGGAATGGTTAAGTTCAGTTCACTTAATACAACTATCAGAGCACCGAAGAGTGATGGATCTAGTTGCCTCGACTCACATCGTAAGAATAACAGTAAATAACAACGAGAGGACAGTTGGGTCGGGTGCAAATAGAATGTAGACAAAATGAAAGCAAAAAGAAGTGCATCAGACTAACGAGAATAGAAGGAAAATCAATGAGCAGTTGAAAGAAACAAAATGCAAAAACGCCAGACGGTGTGACTGCGCTATGTCTGACACGGTCTCCAACTATTGGTGTGGACCGTCCCGAGACTCCCATGCAGGAAGACGGTTTGCATAAACCTGACCACCTCCTATAGTCCATTTCTTCACGTTTCTATGTTATGTCACCGACTGGCCACGTCGCAGTTTCGCCCAACTTGGTGCAGCCAAGGCGTATAGTGTACGCCGAGGAAGCTGGTCAACCTACATACGTAGAACATAGTCTAGACAACGCAAGCAACTGAGAGTTATCAAACACTCGAGAGGCACCAAAAGGCCTCTTACCAAAAACCAACTGGTGGACCTCAGCATTGCTCACCCGATGTTCCCATCAGACGTGAGCAATGCTCCGCAAGCACCGGCTGTCAAACACCGCCAAGTGTTTAATGTCTTCACTAGGAATTGGCCAGATCCCTGATCTATACAGTAATAATGGCCTTATCGCAGCGTTATACACTCTAACCTTACCTGACAAGCTGATATCCCGCTGTATACATAGTTGGCTGAGCCTATGGAAAGCCACACTGGCCTTGCAGATAGGCAGTAAGTTCCTCAACGATGTGACCACAGGACAGCTTTCAAGGTAAGTGAACCGCTACACCACTCCCACTGACTGTTCGGTAATAGCTAAAACCAGAGGTGTCTGTCCAGTACTGCAACAGCTGTCTGCACCTTGAAGGTGCAAAGTACATGCCGAAGCGTGCAGCGCTACGCACAAGTCTGTGTCGTAGTGTTTGCACAGTCAATGCATAAGCGTCAAAGAGTACTATGTCGTCCGTATACTCAAAGTCTATCAGTCGGTCAGCTGGCAGAACCGAGTCATTCATGATAGTTTCAATAACGGAGTTGAAGAGGAAAGGAGATATAACACAACCCTGGGGAACCGCAATTGTCGGGGGGAACACAGGAGATAGCTTCCCGCAGACCCTTACACGGCCTTGGGAATCACGGTAGAGGGAGTTAAGAAAAAAAGGAGTTTAGATGGCACGCCCTTTATGGATAGGCATTGCCACAAACTGTCTCGATCAAATGAGTCGAAGGCGGCTTTCAAGTCAAGGAAAACAAGCATAGTCGGTCGTCTGTATGTATGTCTCTGCTGTTAAACTTGGCGATGAGTAAATATATGGTAGATGCTACAACGGCCAGGGCGGAAGCCAGCCTAGCTTTCAGGGATTCGGTCCTCACGGGGACCAGTACTTCGTCGAAGAATGATACCCGTGAGAAATTTTGAAACAATGGAAATAAGTCTAATGCACCCATGAGTTCCGCACAAAGTACGCAGACCCTCCTTGAAAATGGACGTGATAGTTGATAGTCGCCAGTGTGATGGTACTTTTTCAGTGTCCCAAATTGTGTTAAAAAGAGAAGCAAGTCCAGTCAATAAAGAATTATCACCATCTTTTAGCAAAGATGGAGGAGGGTCATCAGAGCCAGGAACCTTGTTACGTTGCAACATGGAAAATTAACATCGAATCTTTTTCCAAAGTAGGTGTGATATCAATTTACCATGTGGGCTCAGGTGATTCGGCAAGAGGCAGTGTCGCATCAGACCTACTGAACTGCTCCTCAAATGTTGCGCTCAACGGGCTAGTCGATGACGATGAGAATGGGTCAAAAGTCCATCTTTCTCAGCTGTCGTCTCGCTAACTGAAGGCTTCCTCGGGCCCGTGTTCCGAATGAGCTAAAATAGCACTCGGCTGTTTCTAAGACCACTGGCCTTCTCCATCTCGCAGACTTTTTCAACCTATCAACGTTCTCAGTCAACTCGAAGACTTCGTGTCAAACGTTGTTTCAGGGAGTTACGAATACGCTGAAACTCAGTGCCCATAACAATCTGCTTAAGCGCTTCGATCAAACTAATCGATGCTTCAGAGATCCATTCACAGTGACGACGCCTCAAGTCAGGTGCACAGTAAGCGTCGAAGGCATTCCTCATTACAGACATCAGACCATCCCAGTCAATGTTAAGCTCATCAACATCATTCATTACTGATAATCGGTGGGCAAGTTCGTTACGATATCGCGGAACCGCAGACTGCGAGTTCAAGTTAGATAACGTTAGAAGATAGGCGCTTCTTTGAAGTGAAAAGACAGCGCCAAGCGTGCGCGCACTAGAGCATGGTCGGAATCCAGGCATGTACTCCAATCTGACCGACAGTCTTGGACTGATGTGCGCCACCTGTAGCTGATAGTAATAAAGTCAATCGGGGTCCAGGTCATTGAGGAATTCAGTAGATGCCAGGTGACGTGGTGTGAACGTTTGTACTAGA